CACAATCAACATTCCTGAAATTTTTCAGGTGTTCACGGTTTTCTGAGTTTGACAATAACAGATTTCTGGATCCTGCAATAATAAATTGCAGTGAACTGCAGATTCATCCATTTACTGGGCCCGGAATTGGGACTTTGTGTGAAACAAAAATATTTTTGCCCGGATTTGTGATTCAGGGGCAAAATTTTAACGGCGGATTTGGTTAACAAATCATAATGGATTTGTGGATTTGCATACCGGTATTCACCCCCCTCTATAAGAGTAGTTGCAAGGAGAGCTTTAGTCTAAGGAAAACAGCTAACATGTTGTGACATGACCACCAATGGTTTCTTATAAATGTAAGGAAATGCAAGATGTCTGAGTCCTGGGGGAGGGGTATTCCCTATAATGCCTATACTGGTCGAGGCTCCACCCAAAGGGGTCACACTTTTTTCAGTTTTCTGTCAAAAGTGGTATACCAAAGGGTAGGGAGTTGCACCTCGGGGCAGGACCTCCCATATAAAAATTTCTGCAAATCTGCAAATTCAATATTAGCTGCCCCTCTGATAGAAAACTTTACACCCATGGAGTCAAGATTGGCTCACTCCCTTTAGTTGCAAATCCCAGAGGAGTTTGAACCCTGCTTCTGGATATCAGGCTTGGTTATAAGCCTGGTTCTTGTATGCTACAGACCTACAACATACACTATGACGTAAGCATGAAAGCAAGGCCTAAGGGCCACCGGATTTCCCACAAACTTCAGAAGAAGTAAATTGGGTGAGGAAAACAAGAACGATTTGTGATTTAAGGTTAAAAGTTACAGCTGTAACCCCAAAAGGTATTCCTGGAGCAGTGTAGTATGTACGTACTTGGGAAAGTGGACAGTGGTGAAACTAACCTCCACCAACCTGGATCCTTCGGAAATACATGAAACGTCAAGTCTTTCCTATTATAAGAACGACTATTACAAATCACAGCGGCACAGCATTGTGAGAACTATTTTTGGTCAAAGTTGTAGGATGTGCTTCTGCCACATTTAACTGCGATGTGGCCGTTAAGCTTTGCTTTCATGCTTAAGTTGTAAGCGTGTATACCTGTGACATAGCTACAAGTTGCTTCCAGTACTGTTATGACAAGTGCTAATATACACTTGTATGCCCCAGCAACTAGAGGAACCAGCATGCCTACGAAGTTGAACCAAAGACAGTGGTGTCAACTTTTCAGTCCCTTGATGTAGGTTAGGGCTTAAATATTGGCGAAGCTTCAATTTTGGAAGGTCATAGTATTATTAATAATTATTTAATGTTAATTGGTGGAGTACATGCTGACAGTCAATGCTCTCACCCCTCTCTCCATGTAACTTCCTTTTATTTTTTTCTTTTTATAGATTAATGTCTGGGATACAGCTGGCATGGAGCGGACCAGATCACTTACATCAAATTACTACAGAAACTCTCATGCTGTAATCTTTGTGTATGCTGTTGACGAAAATGTACTCACTGACTGTGTTGCAGAACTGTATAGAGGATTTAAATAAGGATGCAAGCAAAGCCCTAAAATTCCTTGTTGGTATAACAAAATAGATCTTGCTGATGAAAGTGCGATAGTTGATGATGACTTAGCAGAGAACTTTCGCAATAACAATGGGCTTACATTCACTCTACCAAATTTCAGCCAAGACAGGTGAAGGAGTTTTTAAAATGTTTGAAAACATTGGCAAGCTACTGGTTCGCAATACAAAGGCAATGATTCAGGAAAGAAGTGCTTTTGCTGTCATTCAAGCTGAAAGTGAAAAAGCCACTAAAGTGAAACAAAGCAGTGGTTCACCGTTGCTGTATAGTTGATGTGCCAAAGAAACTGTATTTAATTATTTAACTCATACACTGTTAATCCCAGAACTTAATTGCATGCCATACACCCAAGTCATTGTGCCTGATCTGCTTCAACCTGCAATCCCAGGTTGTACTTAATTCCTAGTACAAAAATCAATGAGAAGGGGATTTTGAAGATGTCGAAGTTTCAGTGTAAAGAGATCCCCAGGTGTTTGGGTTTGCTAAAGATTAAAGACACAATTATCTTCTTGCAGAGGGGCACAATTGAATTTGAAGAGGTGTAGGAGATTATTATTTTTATTTAACCAAAAAAAGAATCCATCCAACAAACACCAATTTAACACAATTTGCCAGAAATAGAGTTGAAAACTATCATTGTTACTGTTAAAAACAAATAGACCACAATTTTCCATTATGTTATCACTCTTATTGGCCCTTGATCATGATGTTGTTTAAAACTCAGGTGCAACCATGAGCAACAGGCAGTGGTTTTGTTGTCGTGGTAAATTTAAATCGTTAGCTTAGTTGAGTTTAGTCTTTTGTTTTTAGGTATGGCAATGTATGATAATATTTATGAGTCTTAAACAATTGAATGTAAAAATTTAAACCAAGAGTAAAATTGAACCAGAACAAATTTGTTGCAAAGTTTTGAACATTTTGATGGTTTATATGACTTTAGATAATGGACTTGTGGCCTATTTGTTTAAAAATAACATTGAAATGTCCTTAATCTGGAAAATAATGAATTTGAGATATCATGTCATTTCCATGGTAGATCAAAGCTCTTGACCAGTGAGGGTTCAAGAAATCACCCTTAGCTTGTACTGTAAAAGGGCTCGCTCTTATGTAATTCTAGAGTAAACTGGACAATCATTAGTCAAGACTTCATTTGCATCTATTTTCTTTTTTCACACTTTTACAGTTATTTTTGTGGCTTGATTTATGATAATATATGGGTAAAATATGTTAACAGCATCTCAGAGAGCAAATTTTACCCCAACTGAACAGATAAATGGTTGTATAAACTAGAGAATATTTTCAGGTACAACAAAATAATGATTTAATTTTTGAGATAAATTTTGGGAGGCAGAGATGTAGTTGAGACCTCAAGCTGATGAAGGAAAATGTATGATTAATATTGATGTAATGATGTTATGGTTAAGTTCTAAACAGTTTTTAATAATAGCCAGTTATAAGCACCCAAGCTACAAACTTATGTAGGACCAGAAAGAGCCCATATCTAGTCGTTACTGTTAATCAAATGGTAAAACTGTTATTGAAATTGCAGTGCTGTATCCTTTGTCCTTATAGGCATAATCAAAGACATTGGACTCAGAGTAACATAAAAATTACTTTTTCTGATAGTTCTTTCTACATGTTTAATGATTTAGGGTGCATCCCTTCGGAGATAAAGCGTGGGGTGGGGTGGGGGTGTGTACTTCCTAGTAATATGTTAATGGAGATGTACTGCCGGATGGAATCGCATTTTAATGACTGGGTCAACTTTTATGGGGTTGCATTTTTAACAGAGTTACTAGAATGGGTTTGCACATTTTTGGGATGTTGGGGGTTAGAATATTCTGGTAATTAGGGATTTTACAGCGTAAGAATAGGAAGATTCTTATTACATTAAGTTTAAGAACTAATGAGTCAATTTGCTTTTAAAGGCTTTTTAAGGTGGATGCATAAACAGAAAGTGACTAAGTTGGGATTGCAAAAATTACATTTGCCTAACAGTGACTAAGATTGGGGCCATAGTATAGACTATAATGGGGTAGGAGTTGTGAGAGGCCAGCAGCACATACCCAGCAAAAATTAACCCCCAGGCCTCAGGCAAACAGATGATCAGGATCAGTGATCCTAGATCACGCAGATCATGAGACACCAAAGAAGCCAATGAATTCACTCTAGACAAGGATTCATCATGATGCTGGATCACTGAAACCTGTCATTTCAATACAAAGTCATTTTGATACAAAGTTGTTTCAATACAAGTTGTTTTGATATGAACTGAAGCAGTGGAATTGCACAAAAATTTGGTTCACTTCAAGTATAGTTTGCGCTTGAACAAGAAAAACATTTTGGAAGAACATTCGCTGTTCTTTAAGCCGAGGATGTGAAACGTTTTAATATTAATATTTTAATACTGTGAATCAACTTGTACTGAAATGTCTTGTATCCAAACAACTGTTAACGTGGATAGTTTTGATCATAATTATGCAGGGTTATCCACTAGACCATTCCAAAGGAAGGCACTCTTCATTGACCATTACAAAATGACAATTAATAGTAGAATTTATTATTGGTGTTCATGTAAATAGTGGCTTTAAGAGTTTTTCTTGTAAGTGTACATTCTACCTTGCCTGGTGTTACTGGAATATGCATACTATTCTGCCAGTAAATTTATAACATTTTTGGATTTTAACAATGGCTAAAAATAATAATTTCTTTATTATGCCATTTTATTAAATGACTGTTAGATACCAATTTTTAATTTCCTAATATACTTGTGAAGCTATTAATTTCCTCTTCATAATTATGCCTGCATGTCTTCAGTTTATTGTGACATTATGTTGATGTATAATACACTGATATTAATATTTTCATATTGTGAATCAACTTGTACTGAAGTGTCTTGTATCAAAACAACCGGTAACCTGGATAGTTGATCATAATTATGCAGGTTATCCACTAGACCATTCCAAAGGAAGGCACTCTTCATTGACCATTACAAAGTGACAATAGTAGAATTTATTATTGGTGTTCATGTAAATAGTGGCTTTAAGAGTTTTTCTCGTATGTGTACATTCTACCTTGCCTGGTGTTACTGGAATATGCATACTATTCTGCCAGTAAATTTATAACATTTTGGGGGTTTAACAATGGCTAAAAATAATAAATTTTTTATTATGCCATTTTATTAAATGACTGTTAGATACCATTTTTAATTTCCTAATATACTTGTCAAGCTATTAATTTCCTCTACATATGCCTGCAAGTCTTCAGTTTATAGTGACATTATGTTGATGAATAATACACTGATATTATTTTATAAGATACTGATTTAAAATATTATTGATAATTATAATTAAGATTAACAATATTATACTAGATATGTACATTAATTTTTCAAAAAAAAACAAAACAGCAAAAATGACATTGGAAACTTTACATTTTTCAGAGATGGGGTGCAGCTGATTGCGAGTGATTCTGAGTGAGGAATGATCTAGGGTGAATCAGAGTCAAAAAATAATATTGATCTAGTATAGGAGGACACACACGTACAGCTGTAACTCCCTTCAAAAGTTCCATTTTTTTTGCTTGCAAATCTGTAAGGTTACAATTTTCCAGTGCTGTTGTTTACCTGTAACAGAATAGGTCATGTAGTCTAGCAGAATCTTCTTCTTTTAAAAGACTGGCCAATCACCAATGTTTAAGGGAACGCGTCCAAATATCGGTAGGGAACCCGATCATGGGAAACGGACCCGATTAATTTTCCGATTGATCGGAATCGGTACCGATCTATAGGCACCAGTTGCCGTTTCCGATTACGATAAAAACTTTGCCGATTCAATCGGAGCCGGTTGACATTCCGATGTTCATATGTGTCATCGTCATATTATTTTATCTGATATGTAAAATGAAGCGTGTCACGGAACCAAACAATGAAAGAGTCGTTTCACTTCAAAGTAATTTCAATCGACTGTACCTTTTTCCTACTCCATAACAAATAGCAAAATTGTATGTTTCTGCATGGTGTGTTTCGAGTTTGTTGATTTGATACGTGCCTATACACGTGATTTTCGGCGTTTTGCAGAGGTATTTCCTTCAGTCGATCGCAAACACTACGCTGCTCCATAACATTTATTCTATGAAAATTAAAAGGAGTTAAATATTACGACGCAAAACACCACTGTTCTTCGTTGATATATAGCAAACAAAACACCATACTGAGTAGTGTGTTCTTTACTCGATACTAATTTCTAACAATGCAATCCAAAAACACGACCGGAACTCACTTTCTCGAAACACAGCTGGATTCATAGACTTGTTACAAGTAGACCTCAACGGGTTTCCTAGCGAGCGGAGCGAGAGCAAAACCATGGATAATGTAAAACCACGGGATAAACTTTTACGAAAATTTGCGTCTTTCATTCAACGATCCTAAACGCAAGGTGTAATGCGATCTGAGGCAAAAAATACCGACCAATTACATTGCGGCCTCAGATTGTCTCCAGGGAATTGGCAACAGGAACTGAAAGATTCCCACACTCGCGAGTCACGGAAGACACGGAACGAAGTTTCATACGGAGCTACCAAAGAGAGAATGGCTTAGCGACTTTGCTGTATGTTCTGTGAGCTTGAGCATGGTGCCACGTGAAATTGCTTTCCACTCTCAGCACTTAGAAAAATTTGCGCTTGACTCTAGGTGGCTGACTGTTTGACAAAAATCAGAACCTATTTTACCGGAGTGTTCAACTAAAGTAAACTGGCATACATCCGGTAAGTTCGACTCAATTTAATAGCGGAAAGACAATCGAGAAAGAGAAAACCAGTTGAACGCTTCCATCAGTCACTTTTTTGAGTTCATATGCAACCAATAAACAACTTGCAGCTTGATTCTCAGACGATGTCCTCTTCTCTCCTGTGGCAATTTAGCAGTTAAAGTACACAACATGGTAACAACATTTGCATTTTGGTCGTGGATGTTCTGACTTCTATTTTTTTCGTTTACAGTCCTAAACTGTTTATTCCTCCAAAGATTCCTATAATCATGCGTTTTGGCTTCCGGTTAGCAAAGGCTCAAGCTATTTTAAAATTATCATTTTTTAAAATTATCACATCGTACACTTGCAATGTACATTGCGCCGTCTTTCACTCAAAAGATGCCTGTTGTTTCTTCTCGCGCCCATTTTGATACACAAATTTAATATTTTCTGTTCATACTCTGTCATAGGAAATACAAACAAATGTTCGAAACCGTGACGTTAAATTTCGGTTCAAACAAGACACATTTATAAGAAAGATAAGGTTATAAAAAACAACATTCATGCTTTTGCTTTTGCTTTTGTGACGGGTTATTTGAGCTGCCAGATATTTTTGATGACCTTTGTTAATTGGCCCGATAAAGACTTGAGACCCGTTGCCGATTCCCTTTCATTCGGTGCCGATAAAATCGGGTCCGACCTTCAACGGAATCGGAAAAAATCGGTGCCCAATTGATCGGCATCGGTATGACCCGATGCCGATATTTGGACGCGTTCCCTAAACACTTGGGAATTTCAATATGAAAGAACTTTGCCCAATTCCTGGTACCAAGTATAAATGTAAGGCTACCTGAGGTTATACGTAAGAGTTGTAACAATATTGTTAGGTGCAGGTGTATTGTTATTCTGCAGGTGATGAATACCCTGGGTGCCAGAGACTTTTCTAGTATGGTTTCCAGTTTCTGTCAAGTCTTTACAGTGACCCACCTACAGCCTAAGATGTGTCGGCCTTCGGCCAACACTGAAAATTCCCACCGCACACGAGAAAAACCTCTGGTACCCAGTGTACGTGATGAACCTAAAATGCCTTTACTTTCTATTAATAATAACAATGATTATATTTGCTGTGGTAACAGCCTTTTCTTTTATGCCTGTTTTGGGGCATTTTCTTCAGTGTTCGATGCCTCAAAAGGATGCACCAAAATTAACAAGATGAATAAAGAATCATTTTCATATCAACGGCTTTGCACTTAGCCTCACTTTGAAATGGAGTCTTGGTGCAACTCAGAAGTGCCCAGGCTATTCCAGTCTCCCCTCTATAAGTCAAGTACAGATTTTTTTCCTGTTCATGCAGTGTGATTAAAGGTCGGTATTCACCTTGATCCTGTTTGTTTATGAAGAGCAGCATTTTCTTCGTCTTCGACGTCGTTGATGAGTGTCTTCAAATTGCAAATGAACAACACCAGCATCTAAATTGTAACTAGCACTCTTGTCATTGCAATTACCAAGGCATGAACGACCAGTTGGTTTCATGGGTGTTGCTCTCTTATTTAAATGGCTCGCTAGTTTATGAAGCATGTCCTGTATACCTTCACCTGTTAAGGCTGAAGTTCTAAACTGCAACACAAACGCATTCTTTGGAATTGATGACCTCAATTTATCCTCTGTGAAAGTTGGTTCTAAGTCTATCTTGTTTGTGATCAAAATGAAGCAGGCACCTTGCGCATGGATTTTGGCAAACTTCAGGATTTCAATGGCCTGGCTGAGAGATTCTTCGTCATTTACACTGTACACAATCAACACAGCCTGGCTGAGTAAATAGTGAGAGCGAGTTAATGTGGCATGTTGTTCAAGTCCAGCAGTGTCCCACAAGTTGAACTGCAAATTAAAGTGGAAAAATGTCACTTCTTGACAAAATATGTCACACCCGTGCCCCTTAGTTTGGGGACAAAAATATTCATGACAATAATTCATGGCTGTTCTCTTAGAACGTTGTCTGGAGTCCAAGAGCTCTGCGCCTAACAATTATGAGGCCCTGCCAGGATAAATTCTGACAAGCAACATGGCCCAAAAAGTAGCGACAGTGCTTAAAATAAAATCGCGACAAGAGACAACCTCCCTCGACCAAATTGAGAAAGTGACGGAAAAGCTGACAATAAGCGACAAGCATTTATAAACACCGACACAAGATGTTTCAAAATTCAGACGGGCGACATGGACCCCCCCCCCCGGCAGGGCATCAATTATGTAAGTTTGCTGTAAACCCTGGTAGCCCAAGGTAAAAGTACAAAAGTTTCCAGAACCTGCTAGTAAGCTCTCCAAATTGGGCATAGCATCAAATAAGAAGCCATGTGCCAGCAGCTAGCACCTGATCAGCAATAATCTTACTGATGCTTTGCTTGCAACTATAAACATTAATTATTCCTCTTATTCCATCTTGTTCACACTAGGGAGATTAAGCAACTAATACACAATGACAACAGCAATGAAAATTTTGCTAAAAAAAATACATTTGCATCTAGCTTTTGTCTCAATTTGGAACTGCTCAATTTGTCAAATAAGGGCAACTTTTCCTGGAGTTGAATTCTTAAGGACTTTATCCATGTTCAAAAGGGAAGGGAAAATTTGCCATCATATGTCCACGTCCTCCATAAAATGTCACATCAGGAGGTTTCATGTCCCAGTCATGCAGTGGACATCAAAGAAATGTGCTCAAATGTGTGATGAACAAGCAGAACTGTTGTTTTGCTCACAAAACTAATTAATTTGTATTGTATTTTGATGTTGTTGTTAGTGTCATCGCTGTGGTTGCTTATTTTTTAAGCTTGCTATTGTCAAATGTTGGCAAGATTTTCTGGAGTTGAATTCTACAGGACTGTATCTACTGGAAAGTTCGAAAAAGAAAAAGAGATTGTTTGTTGTCTTGTGTTAACATCCTCCATAAAAAGTGAAATTAGGGAGTTTCATGTAGTAGTCGCACGACGTCGATACTAATGAAAATTATGTACAAAAAAATGCATGTGCAAATTTTTTGCTTATCTAAAACCATTGCTTTTTAATTTTGCTGTTCTTGTTGCAGCTGTTCCCATTGTTGCTGATTAAACTCCCTGCTAATCAAGCATTTAAAACAACTCTGCAGCATTGCAACCCTGTGTTGCATTACTGCTAGAAAGTTTTAGCACTTTCTGGAAAGGGTTATTTTGAAATAATAATAATTTATGTTAAAGAATACCTTTATTTCTGTCTCCTTTTCTAGTTCAACTGACACATTACACTCCACAGGATCAAGGGTATTTCTTGCACAACCTTTCTGAGGGCTGTCCAAGTCAGACCCACACATGCGTCTAAAAATTGATGTCTTTCCGACCCCAGTCTTTCCACATAACACAACCTTGTAGGTGCTGACCATTTTAGGGCTCTGACAGCTAAGGGGAACTTACATGTAGTATGGTAGTTTAACAAATTATAGAAATGTGGCAAATACAAAACATTCTCCTCTCAGACAGCATTTTTTGGACAGCATATTATCAAGTCTGGTATCTTCATATATTTTCTGAAAGAAAAATAACAGGATACACTATTGCTCATTGATCGAAATCTTGAAGTCAGATCATGACTTGAAAATCAGGGCTGGACATCACTAAGATTTCAAGTTACCAGGTACATGCAATTAGTAGACATGTGGGGAATTGAAGAGCTGGGAAATTCTTTTGATTCTATTATTCTCTTGTTTCCTATGAAATTAAAGTAGCTAGGGGCCATGGCCATATAATAATAGCTGGGGAAAATTCCTGGCCTGTGGCCCTTGGTGACAGCCCTGCAATACAAAAAATGTTCAATGGAATATTGCAGGAAAATAGTAAAATCTCCTGTTGGCAAATGAATAATTAAAAATCAATAACTTGTGTATTGTCTCTTTAAAGGTCACATCATATTAAAGAAGAAAGAGAATTTGATCACCCAAAAGCATAAAAGAATTTTTGAGCTCTAGGTGAGAATCAAGCTCATGGCTCTCCAAGTTCTAGTTTGCATGCTCTAACCACTGAGCTACCTAATTAACTGGAACTCTATGGCGAGTGAGCGTCAAATGAAAAATTCACTGTCTCTTAATATAATATTCACAAAGCCATTGGTAAAGTTTTGCCAGATTTTTCATTAAATATCACCAGATTTGCCATCTTTCTAAAAACTTGACACTTTACAAGAAGCGTCTCTTGCATCTTATTGTAATTCTTGCCAATGTGTTGCTCTGGTGAATTTTTTGCCAGATTTGTATTTTCATCATTGCATCCACTTCCAGACTGGACGTAATGAATGGTAAAATCCAATACTAGCATTGCCAAGATGCCAAGAGCTTCTTGCTTACAAAATTGACACTTTGTGGCAGGAATAGCTTGCGTGGCAGATGCAAAAAGGGGAGGGGGGAGGGGGGAGGGGGGAGAGAGAGAGAAAAGCGTGAAAGAGGAGAAAAGGGAAGGGAGCAGCTGCTTTAAGAGCCGGTGTTTTTGTATTCCACCCACCATTTTCTGAACTAATCCAATAATGTCAACTGTCAATATGTGACCAATCACAAGTAGGGCGCCTCTCAGCATGGTCCTAAGTTAATTACTTTGTTTACCGGGAATTGTCAAGTCGAGACGCTTTTTTCAAGTGATATCATAATCAAGTGAAATAAAACATCTTTACTGTTATTGCTCCCGCAGCAAACAAGACAAACCTATAGACTACGAGCAGTCTCTCTCTTTGCTTACTGCTCCAAGTCTACGACAAACAATGATCAGTTTAGTGTGAATACACAAGACCTTTGGTCTGACCTCATCAAACAGAATAGTCACAAAGAACACAACAGTCACCAGTAGCCTGAGACACAAATAATGAAAGGAGAAGAAAAAAGAATTGTCAAAAAGCCAAACCGATAGTTTTTACCAAAGCATCAGTTCTCTCTTTGCAAACCATTTAGAAGTTAATTCAAGACAGTATATGTTTTCTGCAGAAAAGGTGGCCTTGTGAATGTCGGTATTGCAGCTAGATGTCTGGAAAGAATCGCAATTGCTTTGAATCAGAGCTCGGTGTATGGACAAAACCAGTATACAAGACCTCCTGAGCATCTCTGCCTGCTAAACAACCTACTACAGTTGGTTCCAGTTTGGGTTTTAACATGAAGTTGCTACATGTTTGGAGTAATTTTGATCTTCCAAAACTTATGCCAGTACAACAAATTTCCTTGATGCCTTCATCTTGTTTGTCTCTCACTAATACACGCCAGGATACAAGCCAATAAGTTACTCGTCATGGCTCATCCAATCAGGAATTTGCGGACGCCAGCGTCCACAGCGATGAACAAAAGGGGGTTCTTATAGAAGGCGTCCCTTACCCTCTTTCCCCGATCCCCCCCTTTTTCCTCCCTATCCCCTACCCCTTTCGATGCCTGCTTTGCAGGCTATGGCAAGAAGTTCAAAATACAGAGACATTACTACAGTGAATACCCTAATAATACCAGCAACAGCTACTTCCCTGGCAAAAATCGCAGGAGTTTTATGTTTCATTGCTATCAGAGACTACCCTAAAGCAGTGGTTTCGCCATGCAGCAAAAATGCAGCATGGGATTTTCGGGAGTTTATCAATTTTTGTATCTAATCTGGGGATTTTTTCGCAAGTCGCTCCAAGTTCAAGGGATTATTTTCGGTTTTAAACTGTGACTCTTCACGCGACTTGGGGGCTTATCTAAATTTCATGCTATGCCTATTTTCACGGTCCAGGTCCTGAAAGTAAGAAAAATTTTTGGAATGTGAGTGAAATATTCTTTCATGCCATGAACACGCCGTGAAAAAGTCACGGCTACCATAAAAATTTCATGCCATGAAAAAGTTTATAATCGCTGTGAAAATATTTCATGCCGTGAACAATTTCAGTCACCATGAAATTGAATTTCACGCCGTGAAAATCTTCCATCCTGTGAAAAAGTTACTGTCTCTGGAGAAAATCTGCTCATACAGAGGAAACATTTTACTTTTCCATTTTATTAAAATAAATCACTCTCTAATTATACCTACAATGCAAATTTCAGAGATTTAGTGCTGGTGTGTATGAGTCATTCAAGATCCAATTACCAGTGTTGAAAGCTACATGTCATACATTGTTATCTAATTGCTACCTTTTTCCTTCTGAACATGCAAATACACTTTTTTTTTTTCGTATTGTAAAACAGTTTTTCTGTCAAAATGAAACATAACATTGTTTTCAAAAGTGTTATGTTTAGATGTCATGAAAGCCTTTATTTGCCCAGATGAATGAAACATGAACTTTTGATTTTTGATTCTCGGCAAAACAAATGATCACCGAAGATCACCATAGATAATCGACAACTGCATGATTCCATCTTCGTATTCTCTAAATTTACAACCAAAATATCATTTAAATTTTAAAAGAATTTGTAAGCTTTTATCTCTTCCATGAAGTTATGCAAATGCTAGACTTGATCCGTGGCAACAAGATGAAATATGTAATGTATGTTTCAATATTGTGTGATGTCTTTTGGATTTATTTCATATTTACCCTTCTGTTCAGATCGTTGTAACGGCAAAATTTTGAGTATAACATTTAGCAATGAGACAAGGAACTTGAAATGGAGCACGATAAATCAAGTACAGTTTGCACATGTGATGGGGCTACAAAACTGCAGATAAAATCAGTCACTTCACTGCAATGCGCGTCGACACAGACGGCAATTATCCCGGTTTTAGGAATGGCAGTTATAGTTAGTCTTTCCGCAGAGAATTTTGTTACTAACGTTTCTTGAGTGAAAACCTTGCCACATTTGGTAAATAACTAAGCGTCTCTGACATCGACATTAGGAAAATTTGCACATTGTGGAGAACAAAAAAAGAGCCAAAAGTCACCGACTGTTGCAGTTACAGATAATGCAAACAAATTGATACGAAACACACCCAGTTCCGATCGTGCATATCTGATAAAATACTTGCCATGAACACATAAAAATATCGATGACAAATTACCAATTTTGTGAGTAGTTTGATTGTAATTTGTGGCTTTACAGGCCTAAACATGGAATAGTCTGAATACGTTTTTTTATTTTTTTCATGAGGTATTATTTTAAAAAAGCTAGAATATTCTAAGAGAAATATAATTTTTTTGTGTGGATTAACTTCCCCAAATTTCGCTTGACATGACCAGGTATTCTTGTTTTTTCCAGTTAGAAAAGCGGCGGAAGGGGAGAGAAAAAACAAAACAAAAAAAAACAGGTTAGATTTCATTCACCCTCGATATGTTTCACGGAGTGAACATGTGTTCACTCTTAATTTCACGGCGTGAAAGTTTACACCCGTTAAAAAATCACGGCGTGGAAATCTTCACTGATCTTTCCCAACATGATTAGTTTCATGCCAAGAGTGAAAAATTCTCGCACAGAGTGAACGGGCGTGGAATTTGAAATTCACGCCCTGAAAACTCTAATTCTTGCACCGTGACCACGAAAAAAATTCACCGTTTTTAGTGAAATCCACAAGCCCCCTTTTCGCTGATGACCCACTGGATACCCCACGGTACCCCTCCTCCGACCCATCCTGGGATGGTAACACACCCTTTCATAAATTAATCAGCATAAAAACAAAAAACAATGCAAAACGAAGAAACAAAGAAAAAGCAAACAAATAACCAAGTTTGGTTGGGAGTGTTCTGCGTGTTCCTTTTTTTGTTTGTTTGTTCGATGCACTCTGAATGCCGTCAATTAAGCTAATTAGCTCATTTAAGTATTAAATAAGCTCATAATTAAAGCTAATTGACTTGTTAAAGCATTGCTTAAACTACGCAAGGCAATAATGATTTAACTGCGCTTAAGTAAGTACACAATATTGGTTTAGATGCTAAATTTCTGTCAAACAAACCACTGTAAAAAGCAGAAAGAAATGCGTACCGTGAGCAGAAGCACGACTGCATGTATTCAATTACCCTCGTGATCTCTGCAATAAATTTTCACAGTCCACACGGTAGTCCACCAAACAACAAATCGCTCGTGAAGATGCACATCGCAGTGGGAAGAAGAAATATAGCCTAAATTCTGGTACGCTTTCTCAGTTCAACTCGAGCTACAGCTTTGTGGCCTCGCAGCCTCGCACGCTCTCGATCAAGGACTGGAACTAATGTTGGCGTATTTGCGCTTAACATGGCGGATGGAGGGAGTCAGTCATAAGACTTTCATGGCCATTGTTTCTTCACTGATGTGTTGGTGATTTTCAGTTGGAAAGATTGGCAGTATGGCTGAAGGAGTGAACAGGACATTGCCTGTGTACAAAGTTGCCTTGAGCGGGAGAAGTGATGTCGGTAAAACCTCTATTTTTCGTCGAATTCGGGGCGATGGCTTTCTTGACGATACTACGAAGTTCCGACATCTACCTGACGACACGATCAAAGTTAGGGTTCGAGACAAAACCGTCAAGGTAAGAAAGTGGAGAAAAATACTGCATAACTCATCACTACGTCAGAAAAATTCATTATGATTGATTTAAAACAACTACAGTGTTATGATATTTGAAACATTATATCAATTAGTTCGAGATAATAGTATAATACTTAATAAGTTATAAGCTTACAAATAGTCTGCAAATATTGAAACGACCTTTAGCTCACGTCTTTTAGTGCGGACTGTACTGCAATGTTTGATGTTTTATGCCAAGCCTCGAACAGGAAAAGGATTTGTACGAAAAAACTGGATTACAAGGGGGTATGGTTTCGGCCCAAAATTGGGGGGGGAGGTGACCCCAGGGAGCCCCCGTCATTCGCATAAGAACGTTTACAAATCCCCCCTACCCAAAACCAAGATTTTTTAACAAAAAGCTACTAATGCCCTTCCCCTGGGGGCAAAGAAGTGTGCTCTGCCAAGTCAAAAGGTGCAATATTTCAAAAGAGTTCTACAGAAGGAATCGTAGTTTTCTTCCAAAAAATATTGTCGCTATGTAAACGAAGGAGCTAATAATCTAAATAGGCATAATTTTAAGTGAAATATTGAGAAAGGAATGATGTTAACCGCTTCTAGAGGGTTTTCTGCAAAGGTTTTCTAACAAATTCCCCACCGCCGGAACCATTAAGATGACACATACCTGACAAATGCCTGGCAGGGGGATGGGCATGCTTGGAATTGACTGAGCCATAATTCTTTCCACATTCAGCATGTACATCTTTTTCATGGGTCATTGCTCCTATATTCACTGTTTTGTTGGAGCATTTGAGAGCCTTTGGAATTAGCCCAGTAGGCTTTCTGGAATGAATGATTTCAATAAATGGTTTGATGAATAGAACAATTTTTGAATAGTCATTTGTCGGATTTGACGCCTTTTAAAGCACTAGTCGGGGGGAAGGGGAGCTTGAATTGGGTGGTTTTGGAATTGACTGGGACATAATTGACCATATGTAAGGTAAAATTAGTTTACAGTAATAAGAGCCTGTTGCTTTTGAGTAGGAGCTAACTCTTTGGTACTCTTTTGATTGTGAGATGAGGTCTGTGAGTCAGGTAAAAACCTTGCACCCCTGCACCCTTAAAGCCCATGCAGAGAGTGCAAGGCAATAGTGGGTCCCAGTCCTAGTTTCATTGTTTTAAAGAGGACATTGTTTTCTATAAAATCGTTATACCATTGCCCTAGGGCAGGGATTTGCATTGTTATTGGTTGTTTCAATGCAAAGTTGTTCCGCTACGTGTCATTTTGCTCCATAATGAATTCAATTCACTGCAAAGTTGCTTTGCTGCAATTCCTCCTCAATAATGTGAAATGACAGGTTTTAAAATTCAAACTAGCGACATGTTTACGTGCATGTACATACCTCCCCTAGCTAAGAGGGCCCCATTACTGTCAAGCCAGGTCAAGTGTACCCCCAAGATTTCATTAATGAATTATTCAAAAATTGAATCTGTTAGTCAGTGGTTGTAGATTTCAGCTTCATCTCTGCATTCCCAGTGCAGGTGTAATGAGCAGTGAATTCATAAGCGAGATAGTTGTGAAATTTTTGTTGTCTTGAATTTGATGTAAATGTCTTCAAAGCAATAGACCTTTTCACTGATACAGCAGCCATATTGAATTAATTTGATTTAAGGAGTATTATAGGATGCCCAGGGGGCATGAACACATTTTGTTTGTATTTTCAAGCGCTTTTCAGGACATTATTTTTTTCTTGAAGTTTTCTTAGAATAAGATCGTAATGGGAAAAAAGATCCTTGTGCCTTGTTTGGATGTAATAACGATCGCCTTTTTCCCGAGAAATATACTGTGAAAGACCATCTTTCTAATACTAAACTAGAAAAAGGCAATCATTATTACATCCAAACACGGCACAAGGATCTTTTTTCCCATTACAATCTTCTTCTAAGAAAACTTTAACAAAAAATGTTCCGAAAAGCCCTCGAAAATACAAAGGAAATGTGCTCATGCCCCGTGGGCATCCTATAATACTCCTTAAATCGAATTAATTCAATATGGCCGCCATATCGGTAAAAAGATGTGTTATTTTATCCATTCAAGGATTCATCAATCTGACTGAACACAGAGAAGTTATTCTAAAAAAGTCACTGCTCATCACAAATGCGGGAATGCAGATTTGAATCTGACACTGGTTGCAGCAATGACTAATGGATTCAAATTTCAAATGATCTTTTCATTGATATAATTTAGGGGGTTATGCTTGACCTGACTTGATTGTAATTAAGGTGAATTGTATGATATGATTGTGTGAAATTTTCTTTGTCTAGATACTTTTTGTTGACACAGCTGGGATGGAAAGATATGGGCGTTTGACTCGCCAACACTACCATGGAAGCCACGTTGTCCTCTTGGTTTATGACTGTGATGACAGTGACTCACTTAAGGAGCTGAAGGAATTCTACAAAGACGCAAGAGATAATACGAATGGAGCTGCCATGGTGTTGGTTCGAAATAAAATAGACAAAGATTTTCAGAGTGTGGACATCGCAGAAACTACGAACTTGATATGCAACCATCATACAAAAGATATTTGCAAGTTTAAGTTCAAAGCAGAAACATCGGCAAAGTACAACACTGGCATTGAGAAACTCGTGAATGACATAGCTGAATACTTGATTAAAAACGTTGAACCCAGCAATAACAGAAATGTTTTCCAAGAAAGGTTAAGACTGGAGGAGCCGAGACAACAGACCCCTCCTACTGAGACAAGTTCAAGTGGCTGCCCTTGTTAGATAGCTACACAGTCAATTCTCTTTTAATGGGCACCCCTATAAGACAGACACCTCACTAGAACAAAAACACTTTACTCCTTTTAACTTTTTATAAGAGGGATATCCCGCTAAGATTGACACATACATGTAGTGCCAGTGCCACAGGTGTCCTTATCAGAGGGAGTTGTCCATATCATTATGATATTATTGCTTAATACAGTGGATGCACTCATGGACAAACACCCCCAGGACATGCAAAGGTGTCTGTTACTGGAACTGGCCACTTACGGGAATGTAAAAATACAGAGTTTGTATAGGGGTTAAGAAGAACAGGGTTTTGTGAAGGCGGCCATTAGTAGAGCTGTCTGCTTACAAGGGTGTCCATTGGGAGAGCTTTGACTGTATGTCATTGAGGTGCTGCAAAAATTTATGACTGGTCCAGAGGAAACAGTTGATTTATGTTTCCAAAGAATGTCTCAGATTCTAAGGAAGTAGCCAGTTTCCTGAGAGGCCAGTTGTTGAGTGATGTGTTTTGTAGCCAAATTGAAGAAAAACGTCTACACCATCAAGACTTGACAAAAAGTAAATTCAGTGGGCAGTCAACATTCATGGGTAACAGCATAGATACTGTTACCTTCTGACCTCGTACATTTTGCAATGTAATGTATGCTCAGAGACTTTTTGCAGGAAACAGCTTTTTGTTAGATGTCATGTGACCTTTAAGTAACCAATAAGAGTGAATACTGATGGGCATAAATGTTCCTGTTGTAGTTTTATAGCAAATATTTGATTATGTTGTTATAGACTCCAAGTTGAAAAATAATATTGAAAATGACGAAATGATCGTCACAGTGAAAGCAATTTATGCAATTGCATAAAGAAGCCTGAAAAAAACTAAAAAATAATAATTCAGGACTTCAACGGGGTTTGAACCCGTGACCTCACGATTACCGGTGCGATGCTCTACCAACTGAGCTATGAAGCCACAGACATTGGGAGCAGGTCAATTGTGGGTTCATATGTTCCCATCCCGTTGAAGTCCCGAATTTTTTTCAGGCTTCTTTACGCAATTGCATAAATTGCGTTCACTGCGACGATCATTTTCATTTCATTTTTGCAGTTCATAATTGATTTATTTCATATATCAGAAACAAAAATAATATTGTTATCATTATTATATGTTAAGGGTTTAAATGGTAGATATTGATTGAAAAGGAACATTTTGTGGTCAGTGACTGTATATACCATATCCAAGAACAATAGTATAATTTTTGGGAAAAAAAAAGTCTTTCAGAAAGACCAAATTGGGAATATAGTTACATCTTATAGAAAACACTTACCCTGGTATAAAACATATTAAGTGATATCACTTTCTCCTTATTTATTATTGCTTTTATATTAGTGTGGCTGTTACCCATCAAAACCAAATTCAGGTTAAAATTTTTTAACCTATGTTGAATCTCAATTTCCAATCAACCTAGGTTAAAAAATTTTAACGTGAATTTAATTTTGACCTGTAACATAACCACCGAGCAAGCCTTCTAGCTTTTGGGCTGAACTCCTCAATTCTCCTCCTTTTTTATCCTAATACTTTAAGCAAAGTACCAAGTTTTCTGAGAAAATCCACTTTTGAGTATAATACAACCTAAAAAATGCCATAAAATGCCAAATCGGGTGAAAATATTGGCGAAAGATGACTTTTAGGTTTTTTATCAACCCATTCCCGCCTTGAAATGCTGGTGCAGATCCACGTCCCTTCTAGCACTTGTGACATCATCAGTTTTAACGGTCAAGGACAACCTGAATTGGTTCTTATGAGGCCTGTGGATCAGGCTGGGTTTATTAGGTTACCTCATTTCATAAGCAGTTGGCTATGTGTCCTAGTAAACTTCTTGTTTTCATGCACTACAATATTTCTGTCTAGTCTAGGTTTTATGGCAGCCTAGTGAAGTCGCCTTTCAACTTTGAAATATTATTATAAGGTGCTATGGACATTACGAAAAGCAAAATAAAGATGAAATTTTATTACTTTGTTAGATGAAGTGCACATGAAAGTTTGATTTTATACTACATTTTTGTATTTACAATAAAAGTTATTACTTCAATCAATAAACTGTTTAAAGGTAATTCCTCACACCATACAACAAAACAGTAGTTACAAAACATTATCAGCAGGGAAGAGAATTCTTTAACTCTTCTCTGTTTTTTCTCCTGTTGGCAGTTGTTGCTGCACATCTTGTTTGTCTTCCCTGTGTGCTGGGAAATTTTCCCACGGGGTTTGAAAGTCAAACCTACGAAATTCTTGAGCCATTTCAATTGGTTCACAGACAACCCGCTTGAGCTCGTCATCATACCTCACCTACAGTAACAAAATTAATGTAAGTTTTCAGTATTGAGGAAAACTATTTTATTAAACTTATTTGGTTTCAAAGAACTGACTGCCTATGCTTGCTTAGCCTCCTACGCAAACTTTCTTAGGGGTTCGTCACGCGTTCCTAGCCTCCCACCCAAACATTCTTAGGGGTTCGTCATGCGTTCCTACCCCACGAATGTCGTTCGTGGGAGAGGAATGATTGCATGACGAACCCGTAAGAACGTCTGCGTGGGAGGCTAATACTTGCTCTACTCAGTGTTGAAACCAGGTAGCATGGCTCACCTCCTTCCCTTTTTCTGTAATGATGAGGATGAGTAAGATGAGAACGACTATGAGGACAAGATTTTCTTAATACTACTTGTGCTCACACATGAACCAGCATCATTTTGGCAGGAAAATGCCATGGCCATCATTATTCTACCACAAGTTTTAGTGAGAATCTTGTAGTGGCAGAAACAAGCTTTCAAATTTTTAGAAGTTTTATCATTTTGCGATCAGGCGAGGGCTCAACATCCTTCAATAACGATAACAGTGCTGACTTTTTCAATGGAAAAAAAGAGTACAATGAAGCTTTCCAGGGTGTCTGTTTTTTTAAGAATACATGAGAAAAAGTTAAGGTTAACTTCTATTCATAGCAATTACCTCAACATAACCAGTTAGTGGAAAATCTTTCCTAAATGGGTGGCCTTCAAACCCATAATCTGTCAAGATTCGTCGCAAATCTGGATGGTCAGCGAAAAATACACCAAACATGTCCCAGATCTACAAGAGAGAAAAGGCACACAATACAATAGTGAGTTCTTAGACTACTATAGTGAAACCTAAGACAGTAATCTTAGGTTGTCCTCATCTTTTAGGACTTGTTTAGTTGAAAACCATTGAAATCAAAACAACAAGTGATCATCTCACGGAGGGCCCATAGGACACAAAAATCTGCAACCTAGGAACTACTTTTACATTTTTTATTCGTTTGAGCTCAAACTTTGCAGGATGGTAGAACTCTGTATCCAAAAAATCCTATGTTTTTAGTTTTTCGATTTTAATGGTTTTTGGCCACAAAATGATGTCACAAGATTGACAGCAAAATTAAAATTTCAAGATATGGCAAAACAAATTAATAATTTTAAAAAAGCACGATGTGATAGAATAGAGTGTAAAAAAATGTTTTCAAAAACTCGGCTGCAGTTTGTGGATCTACCAGCCTCAATCACAGCAGGCACCTCGACCCCCCCACAGTCATCTCTGTTGATGAGTTAAAATGCTTTCTGATGCTAATCGATTTGCTGCTTGCTTTAAATATGCAAATATGTATTAGCTAGCTTTTCTGTGCTTGACCTGCCAACCATGTGGTGTCACATTAATTTTAATGCATATTCAACTGAGCATCAGGGTTTGCAAATTTTATTGATGAGTGGAGTCAGTGTGACTCCTGCTTCACAAATTTTGGAGTCATTTTGGAATACTTGGAGTCAAGTATCAGACTTTCCAGCACATAGTCCCAGCATGTATACACTATCGTGAGGGATACACGAAGTAGCTGTGGCGGTCCGCTGACCTGGAAAGCTCAAATCCATGATGGCGGTCATCGAGTAAACTACCCTCTTCCTGTTTTGTCGTGCAGTATAATTCTTTAATTTTGATGATTTAATTAAGGTTTACAACGTTTACAATTAGTGTAAATTGTATTTGTTGCGAAAAAGGTAAGGACAAAACTGTGTTTGTTACCAAAAATTTTTGGAGTCAAAGTGACTCCCTCCGTAACCTCAGTGGAGTCATCTGAACAACTTTGGTGTAAAATACGCCAAATTTGGCCTATTTGCGAACCCTGAGCAGGATTTGAGCCAGGCCGCGCCATTGCGCCAATCCCGCACTGCAATTGGAATTGTCCCTTTAAAAAACGGCCAAGGGGACAATTTGTCCCCTTCAAAATTTAGGGAAAAAACTCGAAAGGAAGCACACACGAAGAGATTTATTTTAGTGCAGAAATTGCAAGCTGAAACAGAACGTGGAAAGTATATTTTATCGCACCTTTAAAAGTTCATTCCAAAGTTACGTTTCAGTCACGTTCTACTGCTATTTTTGTCAGAAATCTAAGACAGGGCTTCTAATTCTTCGCACGGTCGTGGAGCCGCGAAATTCGGTAGAAATCTTATCAAATACATGTCTGTACAACATATTTGAAACTTATTTCAGCTATAGGGGCTATTTACTTGCCGTAAACGTCCAAATTTATCTTGGAACGTGCAAACAGATTATGTTGCGAAAAACTGGGCACTAGCCATGATGTTAAAGGCTTTGCCATTGGTTCATTTCTGGAGCGTATTGTTGTTGAAAGAGCAAATGATGACCTCTGTTAGAAAAACGTTAAAAAGGCTGGTCTGATCAGCGCAAAACCGATCGATTTCTAGCGAAATTTGCCTTGAAAATAACCACAAAATCGTCCGTTTTTTTACCGATGGCTTTTCGGTGAAGTTTGCCCCGAAAACTCCCGCAAAATCAGGCGATTTTTCCGCGAATTTGTCCCTAAAAATCCCGCGAAATTTGACTTTTTTCTCTGAGACCTATCAGAAGTCCTGCTAAGAAGACAAACCCCTTTGGATCAGCAGAAGGGTGTACAAATTTCTGTCCCCCTAAAAATGAAAATGTCCCCCAAAATTTTAGCCAAGGGGACAATTGTCCCCCAGTGATCAAATCCTATCTCTCAAACCCTGCCTGAGCATTGAGCAGTTGCACTAAGCTGGACAAAATATATGCAAAATTATGATAAAAAATCTCACAGAAAACAAGACAGTGAAGATTTTGCCGTTGGGACATTCTATTAGAGAAAAAATTATTTTTCAACACCAAAAATTTGTTTAAAGTTACACAGAGCTCTTGGAAACTGTCCGGATCCCTTCATCAGTGATGAGGTTTGCTGTTACTTGCAGCTTCTGCACCAGTGTAAAAAATATTGGCCAGGAAAACCACCTGCTTTCACGCTCAATTTACAAGGTCATGAACATTCATACTCGGCGACCGGGAATGAACTGTGATCAGGGCCACCACTTTCCCCAATTTATGGAACAATTTTGCAGCCTCATCAAAATGAGGCTGCGAATAACAGCAAACATCATCACTAATGAAGGGATCGGGATTGGTTCCAAAAGCTCTGCATAGCTTTCAGTGAATCATTGGTGCTGAAGAATATTTTTTCTGTCCAAGAAAAATATTCTTTATGGCAATGATACATACATGTAGTTAGTAATCTTAAATTAGTACAATATTAAACAAGTATGATTAGTTATCATTATATATTTTTACCTAGAGTACTTGTAAATGCTTTGTTTCAGTAGGGCATTAAATGGTGGCTTTTGCGTTCAGATAAGACATAAACAAATGATTTATTCAGAACAACGCTATCTACCTTGCTCAGCACTAGTCAAATGCCAATTTTTAAAATTCAACATTACTAGTTCTAACAATTTATTACCTCTCTTTCATACCAGTCTGCTGCCTTAAACACTGGGAAGGCAGAATCAACTGGCGTGAGTTCATCAGTGTAGGTTTTCACTCGGATCCTTGAATTGTACCTCAAAGATAGCAAATTATACACCAGCTATAACAGAAAAAAAAACAAAGGTTAATGCTGCAATAGAAGAACTTTTAAAGAATTTACGAAATTAACCTCCCCCTCGACCCTTCCCAGTCAGGCTTTGCACCTTAGAGATGTCTAGCTTAAAAAGAAAACAGTTACAACAGTTACAGACATCTAATTTCCATTTATCATTTATACAATGCCAAAATCTATAACAGTGCGACTTCTACAACCGGGGCCACCTAGACAAAGTTGACCAATCAGATTACAGGAAAATAACAATACATTCAGAGAACATTGTTAACCATAATTACCATGAAACAAGATAAACAACATTGATTGAAATCAACCAATTACAACCTACAGAGGTGACCTTTTGAACCCCTTGAAGAAAGCCTGTGTTTCCTGAGAGGTCTATTAGAGTGAATGACGGAGGCAACATTTTGATAAACTTTAGTTATATTTTTGTCTTGAAGTCCTATGTTATTGCAAAGCATGGCAATTGTAGCAAAGAAATTGCTGGTACATGAAGAAATAACAGCTTGGGTGTTCTATGTTAGCTTTCAAATAGAAAAACATTGTCTGGTGAAACACTTTGCTTTCTTGAAAAAACGTTTTGCTAACAATATTTAAATGTTGTGCTTTAAGTAAGTTAGTTATTAGTTTTTTACAAGCTACTGATAGTTGTCAATCATTAATATCACAAAATGAAATCAACAACATGGATCAAAATCAACCAATTACAACCTACAGACATGACCTTTTGAATCTTCCGAAGAAAACCTGTGTTTCCTGAGAGGTCCGTTAGAGTGTTGACAGAGGTGAAAAATGTAAACGTTAGTCATATTTTTGACTTGAGATCACTTGTTGTTGTAAAATGGGGCAATGGCAGTAAAGAAATTGCTGGTAGATGACAAAATAACAGCTTGTGCCAAACAAATATACATGTAAATTTTGTTTCTCTTAGGCATTAAATGTAAAGTTTGGAATAGAAAAACATTTTCTGGTGAAACAATTTTGTTTTCTTGAAAAACGCTTGCTATCAATAGTTAACTTTTGTACTTAAAGTAACCTCTTGTTTTCTTACAGGCTGCTGATGGGTCCACAACCAACTTTCTCAGAAATATGTGTTGTTACTTTCCTGTAATCCGATTCATCAGCTTTGTCTAGGTGGCCCCACTTACAGTAGTCACACTGTAAATTGTATGTACATCCTTCCCAATTACTTTTGTCTAGGATGGTAGGTTTCTCTGCAATTGAGAAACACTAAATCTTTATATTATCTTGCTATGTACCTCAAATCTACATGGTTTTTCGGGCTTATCAACAGCAGTCAGGTCTGCAAGAGACTTGTACTGTGCATTAGTATGGTCTCTCAGGAATGTAAGCACTGGAATAACCCCTTCAGGAGCAATCAGCAATTCCAGTTCTTTGGTTTGTGTCATTAGGACCTGCTGGATGTACTTTGGCAGCATGTTAGCTACATACTGTCCAAACTCAGACAGCTGAGTTACAGCTGCATCCTCTGAAAGAAAGAAAGGAAGAAAATCAGAGATTTCTGTAGATGTCAATGTTTTCATGGGTGTTCATGTTATTGGTGAACTATGACTGTTTTACGAACATGTGCAGAGTAAGTTTGTATTATTCAGTGAACTGTGGGGACCAGTTTAATCAGGGAGATGGGTTTGACAAAGCCATGTTTGGAGACCAAAGATTTAATATAAACGTATACGGTAAATATAAATTCTGGCAACTTTTTTGCTCTACGTTTTAATACAACTGCCTATGGCCTGAGATATGTGGGTCTGGTGATCTGTCCTGCAAATCAATTTATGCCTTGGAGGTAGGAGGCAGACCTCCAAGATTACAGAGGGTTGTAATTATTGCTATCTATGTTCTAGCTAACTGACCTCTTGAGACAGTACGGGCCTTTTAATTTAATCATATATATAGTGTCTCAAAACTTGTAAGCAGTAATTAATTTTATATTCTGTAAATACATTAATTTGTTATTTTAGTCATTCCAAGTAGTTAGGTTGGAAGAATTTTAGATGATGTCACCTATTAGCAGGCCTTCAACAGGTCAACTTGAGGATTTCATGACATTTAAATAAAGTTCATTATCATCATTATTCATTTATACCAGCCAACTCACATGTATTATGCATGTGTCACTCCTGTGGATTGAAAACTTCAATCACATGCACACAGGACAATTTTACACACATAACAAACAGTTTCCAGAAAGAAAATTTTGAATAGATTATCTCATCAAGATATGTGACCCTTCACGCGACTTGGGGGCTTATCTAAATTTCACGCTATGCCTATTTTCACGATCCAGGCCGTGAAAGTAAAAAGAATTTTTGGAATGTGAGTGAAATTTCTCTTTCACACTGTGAACACGCTGTGAAAAATTCACGGCTACCGTGAAAATTTCACGCAGTGAAAAACTTTATAATCGCTGTGAAAATATTTCATGCCGTGAAAAATTTCAGTCACCGTGAAATTTAATTTCACGCCGTGAAAATCTTCCAACAGTCAAAATGAAATGTAACATTGTTTTCAAAAGTGTATTGTTTAGATGTCATGCAAGCCTTTATTTGTCCACATGAATGTAACATGTACTGGTCAGTACTTTTTGATTTTTGATTTTCGGCAAAACACATGAAATCGCTTAAAAAGTGAGTCACCGAAGATTCTCTAAATTTACAACCAAACGAAGCTTTTATCTCTTCCACGAAGTTACGCAAATGCTAGACTCCGTGGCGACAAGATGAAATATGTAACGCATGTTTTGATATTGCGTGATGTCTTTTGGATTTATTTCATTTTTACCCTTCTGTTCAGATCGTTGTAACAGCGAAATTTCAAGTATAACATTTAGCAAAGAGACAAGGAACTTGAAATGGAGCATGATAAATCAAGTAGAGTTTGCACGTGTGATGGGGCTACAAAACTGTAGATAAGATCAGGCACTTCACTGCAATGCGCATTGACACAGACGACAATTATCCCGGTTTTAGGAATGGCAGTAATAGTTAGTCTTTCCACAAAGAATTTTGTTAGGTTTCTTGAGTGAAAACCTTGCCATGTTTGGTAAATAACTAAGCGTCTCTGACATCGACATTGGGAAAATTGGCACGTTGTGGAGAAGAAAAAAAAGAGCCAAAAGTCACCGACTGTTGCAGTTACAGACAATGTAAACAAATTGACATGAAACACACGCAGTTCTGATCGTGCATATCTAACACATAAAAATATCGACAAGAAATTGTGACTAGTTTGATTGTGATTTGTGGCTTTACAGGCCTGAACGCGGAATAGTCTGAATACGTTTTTTTTATTTTTTTCATGAGCTATTTAAAACGGCTTGAATATGCTGAGAGAAATATTATTTTTTGCGTGGGATCAACTTCCACAAATGTACTTTGATGTGACCAGGTATTCTCGTTTTTTTTTTTCTAGTTTGAAAAGGGGCGAGAAAAAACAGGTTAGATTTCATTCACCCTCGCATGTTTCACGGCGTGAAAATGTGTTCTCTCTTAATTTCACGGCGTGAAAGTTTACACCGGTTAAATAATCACGGCATGGAAGTCTTCGCTGATCTGTCGCAACATGATTAGTTTCACGCCAAGAGTGAAAAATTCTTGCATGGAGTGAACGGGCGTGGAATTTGAAATTCACGCCGTGAAAACTCTAATTCACGCACTGTGACCGTGAAAAAAATTCACGGTTTTTAGTGAAATCCATAAGCCCCCTTTTCGCATGAAGGGTCACATATGCACAATTCCAGGTATAAAGGCTTGATCTCAGTAAGACCTCATGATACCTCAGTTAAGTAATCTCACCAGGATTATCATGTGTGTACAAGGCTGTGCTCTAAGGAAAATTGAAGGGAGCCCAGCACTCTGAACCTGTAAAATTTAGGTGCCCAGCATATGATTTGTATGAAAAATCTGAGATTTTCTAGTTGCCCGAGGGCAAAAGTTGGCCGCCAGGGGAAACCAGGCTCTGCTAGAGCAAAGCCCTGTATGAACTCGGCAAGATGGTGCATAGCCTGTGAGCAAGCTCTATGGGGCGCGCTGGTGGTGGGGTAACAGTAGGCACCCCCGGTACCCCTGGGAGAGCTTGCTTGCAGGATAGATGGTGCCAAGATTTCGCACTTTGCACTAATACATTTTGGCAACCCCCTGAAATCTGAAGTCATCGGATTTTTTGTGGAAATTCTGGAAATGTGGATACAAAAATTATGCTCATGTGACTAGGCAAAAGTTGGGAGCTATATCGTATCGGTTTTCCAATGTCACACTAGATAATAAAAGTGAAGTGATGTGCAGCCGTATTATGTAATTATTAATCAATGTACACATGTTGTATTGTACTGTCAGTTTTTAAAAAAAGCAAACGGTGATTACCTTTGACTGCAAGATCAGTCGAATATCTTCTTGATTTTTGCAAGAAAGCTGCAGGAGCAAATGAAGACTTGCAGCAACTGTGATGATCTAAAATAAGAAGTAAGCTTAAGTTAAGCTTAATTGCAGTCCATAGTATATTTCGCTTTTAGAAGCTGACTCTTACCAGACTTCATTTCACGTTTAAGCTAACATTACACCACTAGAGCAAAGTAAGATTTATTGAATCGTAGAAATTATCACCTACTTCTAAGAAACACCCGTGGCCCTGTTATTGCTCCTAACTTCAGAAGAGAACGAAGCCTGGAGGTCGCCATTTTGAAATTACTTGCAAGGCTCTCGCGGCTGCTCAGAGTGGGATGCCGCTACCTGCGTGCAGGCGCCGAACAAGTGAACCTCGAACCCCGCCTAGCCATGATTTCACTCACATCAAAGACGCTGTATATTAGCTTGTCAGTTTTAGAAGTTTTGTCTGGCGCGTCACCGAAGGTTTTATTCAGCTAGATGCATTATAAACACGTGTGTCAATGGCTGTACTATTCTGAGAGACCGCTTAATACAAACACCCCCACCCTCCAATAAAAGAGAAGACCTAAATAAGACGCGAACTGTACCATTTTTACGACCATAAAAGTACAAACGTAAATTCAAAATAGGACGTAAAAAGCTCGTATTATAGGCTTGTGTCCTGATTCGTCCCCGTCCTCTTTCGCGGGGTGGAATAAGCGTACATGAAAGCAAGGGAAAAAAGTTTTGCAAGTTCCACGTACTCAAGGGATTTGTTCAGTAGGCTTGCTAAAAGGAGAAATTTTCTAATCATTTAAATCCTTGTCAGGATGAGAAGTGATGGATGGACATCATTTCATCACTCCCCTGGATAAACCCTCTATCGCTTCCATCCCTGATTCTTGGTAAATCTGCAATGAAAATATTCCCGGGCTAAGCTCAGGGTAACTCATGAACTGAATTTGTGGCTACATTCTTGCCGCAGAATAGTAAAACTTCTTTGAGGTACTAAACTCCATTGGTTTATTCTTTTTCACGCTTAGAGACAAGTTATCCAAGTGTCACATTCTGTTGGAGATGGTGCTCGGACAGTAAAAAATAAGGAACTCGAAAAAAAACTACGAGTCATGATTTATTAGTATGAATTATCATAATTTATTTACAACAGTGATTTATAACGTTCGTTGATATACACTGAAAATATTGCGACGGTAATGTGAGTGTCTACTTTTTTTCAATGAGAGATGTGTTTGGTAGTCTCTCCATCTACTTAAGTGGAGAGATTCTTAAAAATATATATCCTAAACTTAATATAATAACACTAGAGCTATAAACTTGTGTTAGGTCTTAGTTAAGTCGTGTCTTATTTCGAACAAAACGCTCGCGTTTTACATAAGAAGACGCATCTCATTTTTCCGTGCCGGTAAATATGGCCTAGTCTACTACACAGCCGTTTTTAGGGTCGTCACGCAACGCTCCTCCCCAGAGGAGCATTGCGTGACGACTCTAAAATGAGTATCACGCACTTGCTATGTTAGCTTTTTCCTTAGATCTACTCGAGTTCATTCAGAGCGGACGTAGTCTGAAGACAATGGACAAAGATAGCGAGGGATCACTAGAAACCAAGGCGGGGTCACAGTTTCAGTGACGAAATCTAAGCTGACATGATAGTACGAAGTTGTTCATAATAACCTCAAGCAAAAAAAGCATTCAAGGGTCGTTAATTCACCGGTTCCTGCGTCAAAGTCGTTAATTATCGCATCTCTGGGAACTGGTCATTATTTTTATGCCTGGGGTGGGTCGCTTTATCTTCTTTCAAATAGATATATGGCAACAGGAACGTTTTACGCCTAAACTTTGTGTTATTATCTTATAATAAAAATCTCGAATTTCCCTTATTGGGTATGGCATTTTCATAATTCAAACTAATTAATTTAGATACATACACGCCTAAGAATTAAAAGTAGCGCACATTGAATAAATCAACCTAGTTACGGAATTTTTTTTTTTGTCACTTGAAAATGATATGATGGCGACCAAGAGTTCGAGAGGATATATTTGTCCTCTCTTGTGGCCGGGCTCAAAATGTTTTGACAATTTTTTTTTTTTCACTGAGGTATTTCAGTATTCTTAAATGTTTTTTCATTGTCGAAGAAAAGGGAAAAGATTTAAAAATCTTAGTTTTTTAGTTTAAAAACTAACATAAACTTATCGCCAAATCAGTGTGAATTTCACTGAGATGTGAATCTTCGAGAAGATACTTCATGTACACAGAAGAAATTCAGAAGTCTTTTTTATTTTCGGTACCACTTCAATGAAACTGTCAAATGTTCTCATTGTTTTAGCCCCGTTCATGAGCATTCTGATTCTCACATAAAACGGGGAAAAACACCAAAAACTGCCACTGACATTTCCTCAACTAAGTTCAAGCCCCTTTCACTAACCCAAAATAAAACACGAAAAGAATCTATTTCCTTTTTCTTTAATTATAATAAAGAAGACAAAAAAGGTCTACAGTCTTAGTATTACAGTCTTTATATCACTGGGAGTTTGACTCCGCAAAATTAATACTTAAAAGTAAGAGGAGATAACATAGCATCCTCTTTAGCTTATTCTAGGAACGCGGCATTTTTGGAAAAGACATGAAATGTTTACTTTGATTGGTCTCTTTCACACGTTTTCTGGACAAAAATGCTACAACTGAATATTTATGTTGGTGGCCGTTTTCTTATACTACATTTACCCGGAGCGACAAGTCAGGCGATTGAACAAGTCCCGGAGTTTAGCTCGATAGTACGGATGCATGATTGCGTATAACAGTGGATTCACAGCCGAGCCAATGACACCTATACCCGAGGAACAACCGTGTAGGTTAAAATGAAGTTCTGTGTAATTACCGAACACGCCACCTAGCTGTACGAGAAGAAATGGCGTCCAGAACGCGGTGTACACGATAGCAACCCAAAAGCATAGCTTCGTGACGTGTCGCTCGTCGGCTGAGCCGTTGACTCCTTCGATGTTGGTACCAAGGGTGCGGAATATGTGCAGATACAGAACAGCAGTTACAGCGATAGACAGGCCATACAGTGTCGCAGAATACCCGAGGAAGATTTTTGCGTACCGATCCAAGCTCTGATTGATGAGAAGACAGCGATAAAGTTTAGGCGTAGGATCACCGCTCCCAAATTCGCGTCGTGCCATCAAGATCATTAATCCACCAGCGAAAGTGCTCAGGAACCAAAAGAAAAACACCACCAGGCGCGTTTGCGCCAGATTGAGCCTCGGTTGCTGCGGTCGTAACATAGCATCTTTGCGATGGTACGCCAAGAGTGGGAACAAAAAGTACATCATAGAAATACTAACCATCGACAGAAATAGGCTTATCTCGCAAACGGGCGTGTAGCTGATCAACTCGGCTTTTGCGTACACCCGGTAGATGAAGAGTATTGGCGTAAAAAGCAGGCACATGATGAGATCAGCGATCGCTAAGTTTGTGATTAGGAAGTGAAAAGTTCGGTGGATCGTCTGGTCTGTTGCATAGGAATAGATCACCATTCCATTGCCGAGCGAACCAAGAACGATAGTCAGGATATAGAGAGGAGACACAAACGCCGTGGTAGCGACCCACTGTTCGTAATGCTGCTGCATGGTTACTTTCGCTTTTGCTACAAGATCTTTCTTCCGTCCACTGCGCAATGAACTACCCCTCGTCTTAACTGGTCAAGCTAGCTCCCAAAAGACGCTCGTAATACGACGGGTTCTGTAAAGAAATGACAAACAAATGATTATGAAGACAAATTTATCTCGCCGTAGAGCCATATAATTGTATTTTTCTAGCAGGCCTCTTTGTTTTAAACTCACATTTGTTATCATTTCTACCGGCAGGTGCATAAGTGAAAAGCTTATTTTATGCAAATTACTCAGTTCAATCAAGGAATACACTTAAGGCAAGAACGCCATTGTTTATCAGTGTTTACAACCACCTATGTTCCCTGCAACGCGTTTAAAGAAGGGCACAGCTTCTCAAACAGTTTTTTTTCATTTTAATCCGTTTTTAAATTCACTGACGCCAAATGTAGTTGAGTAGTATCTCCTTCAGTTGCGTCCGGTCCAGCTCTGAATGAAACGTAACAGTCGTTTCGCCCGAAAGTCGATTCACCCGAAGTTGTTTCGCCCAAACGTGAGTAGATTCGCCCCATGTTTATTTGTCGTTCTTTAGCATGAAAAAAGAAATAAGCGTGAAAAGGCAGTTACTGCAAATGTGGATCAACAACTTTATCCAGTGAAAACTTCACGTAAAGTATACCAAAGACAGATGTAGCGATCGTTGGGATCGCAGCCGGCGGTGCATGTTGACTTCAATTTTTATGTAGAGTCTTTTAGTATCTGGAATGTGATTATCGAGATCGCTAAGGTCGTCCAGATCGCTGGACCATTTTTCGAAATAGCACTAATAGAATCCAAGCTTAACTAAAAAAAAACATCTCTGAGAAGCCGTGATCTAGAATGTTGTTTGTCATCGAGCGAGTTGGCTTACGTCTGGACGAAACAACTTCGGGAGAATCGACTTTCGGGCGAAACGACCACGATTCAAAAATGTCCTTGCAGGTCATATGGTCAATTCGTTTAGGGCGCCTTTTTCACCTGTTGTGATAGCGATGCTTTCTTTTCCTTCCTAGAAAGGAAGCTTTAAAAAATCGTTTGTAATGCCGCCCAATCGCTGGACTTTAAGTGTTATTTTCTTTCCGCGCTGCAAAAGCCAGTCTTCCTTGTGATGCAGATTTTATGTACATGTATAGCAATCAAAGTGATTCATTGATCGCCAAGGCTTTTACGGGAACACAATTAATCTCTAGAACAAAAAAGATGACTTCTGTTACCGCAAAAGGAATTGAAAAAGGAATGAAGCAGATAATAATAAAAAAAGATCTACGACAACAAAAAGTTGAATACTTGAGTGATTATAGCTAAGCCTAAACTGTGAACTATGGTATAAAACTGACTGAGAGTACATGAAACCAAACCAGACCGGGCTAGGATCTCTTTATTATTAAAGTCTTTTCTAATAATTTTCCCGAATCAAGGGCTGAAAAAGGCAGATGAAAATAAAATCGTGCCCATGACTGAGATAAAAAAGTGAAGGAAGAGGATAATTTTTTAGACTACATCGGCGATTCGATTCTCCACCTCTAGCTGCATCGTCACGTCGCGACGGCAAGGTAAAACATAAGCATCTTACAACCACTCAGTCAGGAAAACATTTGTCATGCTAGTCAGGAAACATTTGCTTACCGTGTCAGTTTATTATAACAGTAGCTTACCGTCATTTGTAGCGAAAAAAAATTGACAAGTAAATAATAAAACCGCGTGTACATCTCAACTCAAAATCGTTCATTCGAGGCTATCTTTTTTTTTGGAAGGGGGGGGGGGGGACTTAAAAATTTTTCCAGAGTTAGCAATTAATTTACCCGTATTATTCACTATCTGCTGTATCTGATGTTTTGCCATCAAGAGGCGCTTGCACATCAGTTAGCTCAGGCAGGTGTACATGTGTGGTGATAAACTTGTTACTTTAATGATTTTAGCGAGTGTAATGCTGTAATATTCTTAATTTATCTGATTTTAAGGTGCTCCAAGGTTGTACCGCTGGCGGAAGCAGGGCCGTAGCGGGGAGGTTTCCTTGAATGGAAATAAAACTGAGAAAAAAAAATACAAAATATATACTTTCTAATTGAAATTAAGCTTTAATGAGAGCTAAGCTCTCCAAGAACTGAATATTCATCATTCATACAACAAAATCACTGTACATTAACCATGATCGTCGTGAGAAATGTTTTTTGTTGATATTTAAAGTGAATTCATCAGTCTCTGATCGACGCTTTTGTTTGACCAAGAGAAAAGAATCGCTGATGAAAGGTGATGTTTTAGCACGGATTAGATACGTCGGCAACTAACCTGCGCGCAGGATAGATACACATTATATATAGTGAGACGGGTTTTATCAATCCCATTTTCTTATCATCTTTTTTTTTTTTCATTTGCCGGGTCAATTTGCGAACTTGACATTTTTTTCTTAAAATGGCTAATACTAGACATTTTTAAAATACGGCAAAGCTAAAAGTGCAAATTTGTTCAATATTTTATCCCTAGTTACGAGTTAAGACCACAATCTTAAAAACCTTGAAGCACTTTGGAAAATTCTACTCGCTTTCGTTTCCCCCCTCCCTTTCTGCAATGTTATTGTAGCCACGTACACTCTTTTTTTTCTATAAGAATATATTTTATAAGAATATCGAGGCTGAAATTTGCGAAATCTTAAGAATACTTTAGGAATAAACTCCAGGCTGAGATTTTGAAAAGGATATAATTTCGGGTGGTGAAAATCTGTAAATACAATACAAATATATGTTTTAAATTTACTCTTTTCTTTAAACGGCAAAACTAGCTAACTATATTTAACAAAACTATAATTGATACCTTAATATATTCTAAAACGGAAATGTCATAAGCTATTATTAAGAATAATACAAGAATATTTAAAGCCTAAAATCGGCGGAAAAATAAGAATATTCAGCCTGGCCTGGGAAAACAACATTCTTATATATAAAAAAAGAGTGTAACTTTGCAATCACATCTCAACATTGCGGAGGGAAAGAGACGTGCATAGATGTTTCAAGGATTTGATCTCTTTAAGTTTAATGCACCAGTCCTGCTGTTTTTACAAGCCTGTAGCCAAAAACTCTTATATTACTCGCTAATCATGAAGTTCCTCCATCGGCGTTACAAGCAAACTATTTTGAAACCGTCTGAATCTTGAAGAACGCGCACCAAAAGGAACTCGATCGGTATGAAATAATCGTCGGAAACAAAAAATATCTCTAGCTAATGAAGCTTTTCTCGAGAGTCAGCGAAGTGTTGCTCTCACAGCAATTGGCCGAATAGAATTTCTAACGTAAGTGCGAATCGATTGAAAAGTCGCATCGAATATTTTATCCAGAGATCAGTGTCGCCTGTTGTTCTTCACGTCGCCTAAATAGCTTGGAGCGGGCATTTAAACAGCCGGATAAGAACAAAGACTGACTGACGTCTGTGACGATTATCTCACCAGAATGAAAATAAATAGAGCAGCAATTTTGGTATGGCGAAGATTTTTGGCCCTGCATGGAGTCTCTGCCAAGAGTTTCACCATAAATGAATGAACTACACTCGAACGGCAAGCAGTATAACGAGAAACGAGAAATGAGAACATCTCCTAAGTTCTTGTACAAATTAAACTACCTTGTAGACCTTATATTTCTTATATGTTAATTAATTATGAAGGTACCTATTCGCTGATGAAGAAGAAAATGGCCTTTGGTCAAAAATAAAAAGATACATGTATGTAACAAATTCTCCACCTGGCCTACGTAGCTAGCGGATTTCAGCGTCTGCACACGTCAGTATCAAAGCGTCTTCTCTCTTCTTTCAGCGTGCACTCCTCTCTGCCGAAGTTGCTCCCGCTATCCTGCCAGCTTCGCGAGAAAATTAAACAATTTTAGAATAATTTTCTGTCAAAATTGAAAAATTCCGGCCTACGTTTTAAGCTTTCGTCCACTTCTTACCGTCCTTAGCCAAAGGCAATTTTTTAAGCTAAGAGCTTTTGCTCCGAATGGTTTCTTGTAGATATGATTACCAGTCCAGTCGATCGTTTTCTGCGCCCGCACTAACTCGAGCAGGTTACAAACCGCTACCCTAGGCTTCTGGCCAAGCGTGTTTTCAAAAACCATTATTGCTTGGTATTAAATAAACCTAACTAGATCCATAATTTATCTTAAAAACTGAGTTATGTCACATTCTGTGTTATTTCAATGATTATATTACCTGATCTAGACTTAGTGGTTTCTACTGGAGCCAATTTTTTGAAGAAGGCGAATAAGTTAGCTTTCGCTAACACACAGGCTAACCTCGTGGCTGCCAAAATTCCAGCCACGTGAAAAGCGCATTGTTAACCTCAAAGCTACTTCAAAAATTTCATAAAGAATTCTAGGTGCTAGCAGATATAGTTAGAACTAGTACTTGTTATTTACTTTTAGTATTGTGACGTTTAGCGCAAGACAAAGCCGCTTTTAGGAGACTGGCTTCTATATTGAAACAAACGAGCACTAGATCTTGACGAAATTAAAATTTTGTCGCAACTCTATACGTAAATGCGTGAAAAAGTCAGCGGATAGAAAAATTCAATAAGGTAATGCCGACCTAAAGCGATAACTCACTTTGCCTTGCTTAATGATGAATATTCTAATCCCTTTAGGTCACCACCGTTCCAATCGGCCTTGTTTGCCTGATCCTATACATCATGACCTCCGAATGAAGACCATTCAGTTTTCTTCAGATCGGAGACAGGACTTGAAACAAATTAAAGAGCAATATGTGTTCATGGCCCCCAGAATTTGCATAATTGGCTGGTTTTGATATAGGGACTCGATCTCATACAGGTTATCCGTTGGATAATCCGTCGAATGTGAAAAATGTGAAAACGATTTGCTGTTATTTTTTAAAGAAAAATCTGTCTGTTTATCCGTCTATTCCAAAAATGGATTTTGAAGACGGATCAGCCGTCTTAGGCAGGTAATCCTCCATCTCCGGTGTAAGGACGACCATTATCCTCTTAATAATAATAAAATAAAATAAAACCTAACCATGGAACAAATAAACGAAAGCCGCGGGGAAAATGTATCTCACTTCACCTCAAAGATTGGGAGAATTAATTACTGTTACTTGGTAACAGTCCTCTATTTCAACGATGCGCTCCCGGGAGCTCATTCCACCTTTTCAGTTTTCCCAAGGAAAGAGGGCATTAACATGTCATTAACATGTCATCAATTAGTAATTGATTTTGAATGCAGGCTTAAAAAATAATTTGTAGTTTCGAGAAAAAAGAGCAGATATCAACTGTCTCTCCGCGATCAGTCCACATTATGTCATAAAACAACCTGGTAAACATTCCTAACCGAGAGAGAATACTCCTATCTTCAGGAGATGATCACTCTTGTTTATTGAACATATTAGTTAGTGACTTACTACCCTTGGTTCTAGAGTAAGTGCCAAAGCAGACTCTACCTACCGAGCGCTGGATTAAATCTAGACTGCAAAACACTCCGTAATTTTGCGTTTTCAAGGACGCGAGAGCAGTCAAACAAAAGGTCTGGAACGAGGCTGAAAACCGAGAGCGAGACTGGGGAGAGACGCTCAAAATACGCCTCACATTACGCCTCACAAGCCCTACGGACGTGTGAGACTCGCCCTCTTCGCGCGCGTAAGACTCTTACGCCACGCTTTACCGATTTCTTTATTGATTTTGCGAAAAAAACCCGACTGTTTTGCAGTCTAGATTAAATCCAGTATCTGACTTTTCGGAAATTAAAATACCAGGCAGAAGTGCATACTCTAGCTTTGGTATCACAAAAATACAATAGTGCTTCATAATGTCAAGGGCCTGATTCGCGCCTGATAGTATATTGGCAATATGATTTGCCCAGTCTGAAAGTATAACATGGTATAACGTCCCTACAAGAATGATGGTGGACTTTATGTAAACATGGTCATTAATAATATAGGATGCACCTGAATCAATTACCCTCATTGTAGAAAAGGAGATAGTATGGCTAAGCTTAAACGTCTCTGAAAGGTATTAGCTATCATTTGGACTACTTATAGTACGATATGTGGAGGCATGTACGTGGCTGAGCGGTTAACACCTCGAACTCTGGATCTGGAGTTCCGGGGTTCAAGCCTCGCCCGTCGCGTTGATTCCTGAGACAAAGAACTTTACTCCACTTTGTCTTTCTTCACCCAGGTGTGTAAATGGCTACAGGCGAAATACTACCCCGTCCAGGGGGGAGTAGCAATACTGCTAGGCTTGCTTCGTGCTACGGAAACCGGTATATAAGCTCCGGCCAGGTGGGCCTTTGGCTCGTGTGCGACTTTTCCTGCCTTACCTTTTTATAGTACGTTATAGGAAACAATCGAATGAAATAAACATATCATCAACGAACATTTATAACACAAGTGGTCCCAGGCCGTTCCTAAAAGCAAACCATTTTAAGATACACTATTTGATTTCGATAGTTTTCTTTTCTTTTCTTTCTATTTGTTTTATTTGAAGTGTAAAAGTCTGTTTGGACTGAGCCTCAGCAGAGAAAAACAAAGGTATTAGATTAAACTAGAGGAGAATTCCATTGTAATTCAGATGTTGTTGCCAATAGTAGCGTACAGTGCAGGCGTCTTCTTCAAGCGCGCGAATGTTTTTGCTCGCGAAAGCGCCATGTTGAAACTCCAACAGATAGGAGGAAATTGGGCGAGTCAAAGGGAGCGGGCCAGAGGGGGAGGGCTGTTATAAGACATTAACAAGCAGCTTTCGCCCGCCCAAAATACGCCCGCAATGCAAGCTATAATGTCAATAGCGAACAGTGCATTTCGTAAATGGCGTCCTTTTTTCGAAAGGGCTGGAGGCAAATGTTAAAATCAAAGCTTGTTAAATAGCGATAGTAGCATAGTTCCTAGCTCACAAAACCGTCAATTTTACTTCGTCAACTGATAGTTTTATTGCATCATTTCGAAACTTTGATCTCCTTTTACAAACACACAATCAATTTAATAATCACCTTTGCAGGCCCGAAATGTTACCAGGAACTTCGAGAAATGGGCCCCTGAAATTTTCGGGATGTTAGACTGGTAGAAAGCTGAAAGCTCCCCGGTTGTTTTTTGGGTGAGGTCTGGTCGTCATCGATCTTGTTTCTTTCTTCTCTGCAAAGGACCGCAAACGAATTTAAGAACCAATGATCAGCAAAAATAATGAATGTCATTAAATTCAAACTGCTTAAAAAGGGGCGCGGTTTTTCATCAGAGGAAATTGTTGCGTCATACTGACGAGCCCCAAAAAGGGCGAAACAGCTGTCTATGGTACAAACTCTGTTTTGATCGGAGTTCTTTCGGTGTCGTGTTGATGTCTTGGGTTAATTTGAGCGGGAAATTTCATCTCTAAACTGTCCAAGTCCAGAACAAAGGGTCCAAACAAGCTAGGAATAAAAAGAAAGCGTAAAAGTTGTTGAAAAGTACGGCAAAGAATAATGAACTTTTTCACAGCTTTCAAAGTGTTTGAAAGATTGGTTAGCCTGTTTCATGCCTTGAGCTTGCAAGGGAATTTTCATTTAAAAGCTTCTTGCACGTTGCTGGGAATGGAGACAATTTTCTTGCAGGATGATTTTCTTGAAGGATAAGGTAAGCTTAAGAAAATTGTCAGGCTAGCATTTGGTTTTTAAAACGTAAATTGATAAACTTGGTAAGCTTACTTGGGCCATGTTTTTCGTTCGGTAGGGGTCCATGATTCCTGAATTGAACAGGGCAGATAAAAACTAGGTCATTTTATCGCTCGAAACTTATCAGCTCTACGGGTTATGGTATTATAATTTAGAGCTTATAATTTGAAATGTTATAAAACATCAGTTGTGTTCTCGTGCGCATGTTAAAAGTACGATTAGTAAATTCGTTACAATGCTGACTCAATACTATTTGGGACCATACAGACAATCCAATCTCTTTTACAGGACCTGAGTGGGGAAGTCTAGCTTTTTGCTCCGAAGACGCGAGTCTTTAGGGTGGTTTGCAGGCATGCTCCCCCAGATAATTTTTGCAAATTTAAGACCTCCCAGGTGTCTTTTTCTACATTTTGATATCATTTCAAGGTCATTGATTTTATGAGAAACTATACGACAGGAAAGTGTAATATGCAATGCTTTTATACCACCAGATCGCGAAAAATACTTTATAAGATTGTCATTTTTTCCCTTTGTTTTCACATGTCTTCAGAATTTCATGATAAATCGGGAGAGTCTAATAAAAATCTGGAAGGCGGGAGGCAACGCGACAAATTGGAGTGGGGAGGAGGGGGAGTTGGAATGTCTTCTATTAGATTGAATCAACGCCCTAGCTCGTTCTGAAGATGTCTCTCTTACTATGTATACTCTGTCGCAAAGGATGGCCGTCTTCCCCTGTCTTCCTATGATGCCAAGCGCCAGTCCCAGTTATTTGTTTTGTCTCCTTGCATCTCTCAAGACATTTTTGACATTTATGGGGGAGGCTGCTAATGTGCTGGTCACCAATATGTCGAAGGATGTATTCATATCGATATATCAAAAAAACTGAAAGTTAAAAGACAGTTGCGGGACACAAATTTATTCCCGGGGGGCTCTCTTGGGAATTCTTTATGGGGCTTACGGTCCGGTTCTCCAAATCCTGACCCTGTTTCAGACCAAAAAATACCATTTTCCACATCGGCTGTCATGATGTTGGCCTCTAAACTCCATACCCGTTTTCACACCGAAATGGCACAAAAACCACTGGAAAGCCCTACCCATTTGTGGCGGTACATACGTATATGGCTTATATAACGGAGTACCCTCGGGGAAATCACTCAAAATGATACATTGACAACATATACCAAATCTTTAACAATAACTTTTTAATGTGGAACTGAAAACCTCACGATTAATTTGTTACACTTTATGTAACTATAGATGACAACTGTAATTATAGTAAACAATCTTGATCTGTTATAAAAGTATTTTACATTCACAAAAACTTCACTTCGCAATGATTTCAGATTTTTAAGAAAATATTCACTCTCTGATAAAAACCACTCTATGTATCGATATATAATTTATTAACTTAACACGCGAAAACTAAATTTAAATAAA